TGTCACACTGGAAGTGGCTAAATTCACTACCGTTTGAATTTTGAGTTACGAAATAGGTGATTTAACCATTGTGTAGCATTTCTGTGCAGTTTATTGAAAAGTGTAGCAAACAGATGGAATTGGTCATTGGGGTGCACCTGTTTAATCGATAGTGTAGCTTGTAACAACCCTGATGGCGCGTTCATACTCCTTTATGTTCGTAGCACAGCGCTTTACCTGCTCTAAGTTAACTACCCTCATGAATTTATCTATGAACGCCTTCCAGGTGTTTTTGCGCCATACCACTGAGGTGTTAGGTGTTTCTAACCATTTTTGAAATCCTGCACATGTTGAAAGTAACCGTATCCTATTTAACATGGGTCGAATCGACCCAACTTTCCACAACTGATGATACGTCCACTCCCCCTGCAATAAATGATCCCATTTTGGCGGTTCAGACAGCAGCGATTATAACCTAATTCTTTATTGTTTATATTATAGAATATGGGTATTTTTATCATAGGTAACGTTTTAAATAAAATTTTAGAGCTCCTCCTCCCTTTACCCCACAAAAAAAGGAAAAATAGCGCTGGTGCAAGTCGAATCGAATCAGATTTTTTTTTCAAGAAAGCCGTACAATGCACAGATTTGCGATATCCTTTCAGCAACAGATGGTATCGTCGGATTCCGGAAAGCATGCCGGATAGTTCGATAAACTTCTATCGTCCAAACCCACAAGCTCCACATGATATGCACTATCGTATCATGTGCAAATTCATTAGAAATTATCAGTAATTTTCGAGCGGAACGAAGAAGCAGTATATCAGCAATATGTGATTTACAAAACGGCAGCAAACCGAAAAGTCTAATACATCAGAAGGGTAAGTACCTATGATTCAACTAAGAAAAAGCCACACGCGTTATCGACTAGTCTTGTCTGACGCACTTTACAGTCATGCAGCGTTGCTGATTTATTTAGCAGCTGCATCTCTATCTCTAGTATCTCTATTATTAATACTGAACAATCTTAAAAACGCCAGTGATGCATAAATGGGACGGACCTGAGAGATGAGGAAATTATTGCGAAGATTCTCAGTGATGACGCATTTGGCTTTTTCTTCCTCGATTCGTACTTTATAGACTTGCAACTCAGCAGCAGTGGCGTCTTATTCATTCGCATCGAGGTAGATAGAAAATGTGAAAGCGGCATCGCTGCCTACATGTCACTGCGGCCTATAAGATCTATTGTGACCCTTCTTGTGTCTAAAATACACCATCCAGTTTTGTTTTTCTTATCAGACTTCACAACCTCCATATTTTCCCCTATGTCTAGCTTCCTGGCCTCTTGTTTTGTTTTCCGACGCTGTCTCGCAGCTGTCTTTGCAGCCACATAGGATGATTTTGGCTGTCTCTTCCTCCTTCTGACATAACCTGCAGCAGGTTTCTTCTGTCAGTCCAAGTACTCCAAGTAGACTCATCTGTTTTCTTAGTCGACAGTGCCCTGTTAGAAGACCAACCATTATTCGAATGGTCCAAGGATTAACAGTTCCGTCGTGATTTTCCTCTCTGGTTTTCCTATAAATTTGAGTGTCTCAGTCCCGGCAGGTTCATCCACACCACTATTGGTATGGCGCCATAGCGATGGACCCGGCCAATCCACAAATAGGTTCTAGTCCAATCATGGGCTGTATTGAACCTTCTTTGGCTAGTTCAACATTCTTCTCCTCGATGACCCTATCCTGTCCTGGCACCCAACCAGCGTCACCTTGTTCTGCCTTCCAAGGTTATTTAATTTATTGGTGCAATCTCATACCAGCCTTGATGTATTGTTATGGGCTTTTATTGTTTTGATGACTATGGATTTATTTCTTGTGTCTCTACTTTCCATTTCATCTGCAGCACGGTGTAGGATGTCTGTTATTTCAGCCTGGAACACTGTGGGAAAGCTCCCCATCGGTATTATGATTTGGGTTTCTGTCGAGTCCAGAGTCCAGCTCCTATTCCTTGTTCAGTTTTGGACCCATCTGTGCACTAGACCACTTCTGTCCTTATAGCTGGCCCTTGTATTCGCATCAGTCGAACGCAACGGATAGACTGGAACAAAAGAAAATTATTAAATTTGACACGACCCACTTTCAAGGGCTTTCCCAGGATCTGAACTAGAAGGGGGCAGACCAATAAAAAAAATCATTTTCCCTTCATTTTTATTAGTTACCACATTATCTACTTATAAGTAGCAAAATTTTTAATTTTTCAATATTATGCAGGGTGATTCAAATTCGATGCTCTCCATGGTCCATTGGGGTCTCGAAAACGCTAAGAGATACGAGGTCGATATAATGAGTAGTGATGAGCGAGACTGGTCTTGGTCTTGCGTTCTTGGTCTTCGTCTTACAGAAAAAGCAAGACCAAAACCAAGACCGCTTACTAGGCTGCAAGACCAAGTTCAAGACTGAGCAGTGCAAGACTTATGCAAGACGAAGACTTAGCATTGCAAGACTTATGCAAGGCCAAGACCGAGCAAGCAAGAGTCTTGCGGTCTTGCGTTCTGGTTCCATTTTTTTCTATAAAGAATACTAAAATTTAGTATGTATTAGATCTAGTTGTTTGCGCCCTCAGGCCGCCCCTCCAAAACTGTATACTGTATTTTTATGTATAAAAAAATGTGGCAATATTAGAGTGTGGTACCCTGATACCTCAATTTTTTGTTGAGATTTTTAGACACTATCCACAACCTATAGGGACCCCCCAAACATATTTTCTGGGTGCGCCGATGGTAAATACAAATTTTTCAATATTACAGGGACAAACTTAAACAAGTGTTTCCTTGAGTCCATGTTTTTTTAAGCATTTTTTACTTGAGAAAATTGCCTGATTTAAGTACTTGTTAAAATTTGCTGCTGTGGTGAGGTAGGTATTTGATTATATTTGGCACCATACCTACAGCCTTTACTATTTAAGATAGAAAAAAATTGTAAATACAAAACTTGACAGTTTTTTTCTATATTCTCTTTTAACGTTATCAGAAAAAAAAATCGCATCGGAAAATGGAGAAACGTAGGCAACTTCGACTTTTTTAAATGAAACACCCTGTATATTTTGCGATAAAATGAAAGACCTTTTCTTCCTGATTACAAATATATATATGTTGATCACATTTGCATGAGCCATTTTTGACATATCTCAGCTTAAATTATAACTAAATTGCAAAGAAATTTTATAAAGATAGAGATCCTTGGAACTTTTCTGCAAATTCTTTATAATTTAACCTGAGATATGTCAAAAATTGCTCAAGCAAATGTTATCAATATATATTTATTTGGAATCAGAAAGAATAGATCTTTCATTTTATCGCATAATATACAGGGTGGTCCATTAAAAAAGTCAAAGTTGCTTACGTTTGTCCATTTTCCGATGGGATTTTGTTTTTTCTGATAACGTTATCAGAAAATACAGAAAAAAACTGTCAAGTTTTGTATTTAAATTTTTTTTCTATCTTAAATAGTAAAGGCTGTAGGTATGGTGCCAAATATAATCAAATACCCTGTACCTACTCAATATTGAAAAACCAAAATTTTGATACTGACACATACCTTCCCTTTCTTTAATCATTTACTTGCTTCAAGTGGCATGAAAAACGATTTTGTTTTAAAATTTTCTTTGTAAAAATTCCCCTCCAGTAAAAATCTACCAAATAAATGCAAGACTTGCAAGAGTCTTGGTGCAAGACCAAGACCAAGGCCGCATATGCAAGAGCAAGACAAGACTAGCCCGGTCTTGGTCTTGGTCTTGCATTTGCTCATCACTTAAAATGAGAACAAAGCTGCGCAATTTCTCTCTGAACAGAATGCAGCTATTTCAGGTGTGTGATTTTATATTTTAGCAGCCCCCCTCTTTCTCCCACTAGGTACGCCCTTGCCCAGTTTGCTTATCGGACGCAACGGAGTTCCGTCCAGAATCATCAGAAATAATAGGGTATAAATTGCATGCATCCGATGTGTATGTGTGTGCTTATCTGCTTACGCCACCATGTTACCGTACCGGACCATACCAAGAAAATTATGCGATAAAGCTTTTATTCTTGGGATGATAAAAAACGAGATAAATAAAAGTCTTCGGCTGGTTATGACCGAGGGTATGAGTAACTTCAATAATTTCCATCGTTTGGAGTTTACTTCTCCATTGAACTGAAAAATTCGAGATTAGGGTACGTCTATTGCAAGCCCATATTATATCAGTTATCAATTTAATAGGAAACTATTATTTTTCATCAAAAAGATCCAAGATAAACTGATAAGATGATTTGATTCAAACATCATTCGGGAGCCAATTTTGGAACAGGAAGTTCACTTCCTTTCTTATAAATACAAGATATTTTCATATTTAAAAAAAAAGAAATGATCCGATTAATCTGATCAATCTGATGAAAGGCTTGATCATCAGGTTACAGCTGCCTAATACTAAAAGTACCCCTACATTTTAACAATATTGGGAACAGAAAACAGAAAAGTTTCATGAACTAGGTAATCAAATAGGTATTTTTATTTAATCATCTAGGAATGATTTCAATGGTACAGAGGTTATACCTAATTAAATTTGAACTTAGCTAACTCTGAACTTAATTAAATTCGTTCTAATTTGTATTACCTACCTACTAATTCGTTCAGGTTTGGTGGTCCTGAATTTGAATCAAGTTGTATTTCTTTCTAACCCAACTTCATATTTCTGTGTTGAAAAAAATAACAAATAATTTTTCAATCCCTTATCAATTATCCAGGTACTTACTTATTAACTTATTATTTAAATAGTTTATCCTACCTAACTAGGAAAATAATTACCGAATATTTTAAATCAGCTCCATTTGCCACCAGTTCGGTATTTATTCAAGCCAGCCAATCAGAGAAGAGTAACGTCATGAGAAAATCGAAACAGCTGTCCTATTTATCAAACGCTTGGCTTTCAAAATATTACGTGTTATCTTCGATCTGACGTCACATTTATTTATTTTTATCCTCGACTTGTTACGCGTTTATTTATCAAATAATTACAAAATTAATTAGTGGTTTCTAAAAAAATAAATCATATAAAATTAAAGTCCGTCTTTGTGTTAGAATTTGTTAGTATCTTAGACGTAGAGTATTGAAATAAAATAGTGGACAAATTATGTTATATTCCCTTTTAATTGGCTGTTTGAATTTTGCCTGCTTGTTTCAATCCGGGTAAGAATATCACGCATGACTATTTTTTTTTATACAATAATTTGTAACCATATGGGAATTATTTTTCTTTGTTGTGGTTTTAAATAAAGCAAAACAAAAGCATCTTAAATCAAAATTCTAGAAGTAAAAAATTGTTTTTGGTTTTGCCTGTCCCCAAATTATTGGAAAAAGTAGTTAGGTTATAACTCTACTTTAAGCAAACCATTCCAGTATATTTAAGACTTATCATAATATTATATCTGATTTTTAACTCAAAGAAGGAAATGTATTTTCCAATTCTAAGAAATAATTCCTTAAAATGTGCCTACACCTCTACTCGACGCACACTTTTTAAATTTTGCCATCTAAACAAATTTATTTTGCGATTAGCAATTGAGAATTAGTCTTATTACAAACTGGAATGGAACCGTCATAAATTATTAGAAGACCTTTACCAGGTATCAATTTCCTAGCAATTTTATAGGTACCTACTAAGTAATCATTTTTATACTTAGATTATGTCTTTTAAATTTATGTATTACTCTCCTCTACTCTAACACAGGTAACGGATATCAGGGCCTGATGGTAATGAATTTTTTTTTTGAAACCATCTTTATTAAATATTTGCAACAAAAGGTATAACAATTTCTTTTTAAGACAATCCTCTAAGCAGTGTATGCAACACTGGTAACGAGGTTAATCATACTTAACAACTAAGACAACAGTGACAACTTAAATATGTATAAATTTACCAATAGTATCTTATATAGTCTACAAAAATACATAACAAGAGAAAAAACTTAAAACAAAAATAAATCACAAGTAGGAACTGAAAAAAAAATAACAATAATTATCCTCAAACATCATTACCAGAAAGATACTCTTTTAGGGCTGCATTAAATTTTACGAGATTGGTTAACTCTCTAATGTGAACTGGTAACTGATTGTAGGCTTTGGAGGCCTGAGAAAACGGATTGTGCAAGCCCTTATTTGTTCTAACATTGTCTAGAAATATGCTGGTGTTGTATCTTGTATGATGAAAGTGAATGTTTTCCGTAAACACCACATCGGTGTTGGATTTTTGTTTTTTATGAATAACTTTAAATATAAATTTGCATTGCTCCAACATCAGCATTTTACTCAATTTCATAACAGGTAGCGCTCTGTACAAATCATCCGTGTGTGTTAGACGGTCGTATTGGAATAAAATTTTTAAAACCTTGTTCTGGAGTACTTGAACTTTCTGAAATTCGACCACACTACAGATGCCCCATACAGGAATCAAATATCTCAAATGTGACAAAAAGTAAGCGTTGTATATATTCATCTTAGTTCCGTATGTCAAATAACCGCGACACCTAAACATTGCACCCACTGTAGGAGATATTTTGTTGGTTATTTGAGCGATGTGTTCATTGCTATTAAGATTTTCACTTAAGAATAAGCCCAAGTATTTCATTACAGTCACCCTTTCAATAACTTCATTTTTTATTTTAATCGTGGGAATTCTAATTAACTTATTTTTTTGCCTAAATATCATAAATTTCGTTTTACTTATATTTATTTTTAGTTTATTGAATAGCAACCAGTTGGCATATTGCTCCAAGTCAGAATTTATACAACGCTCAAGTTCTTCTACATTTGCACCACTATACAATAGTATCGTGTCATCCGCAAACGTATAGTAACGTGCTGCTAGGCCTGCCAAATTTAGACTGAGTACGTAAAGTGAATACAGCAGAGGTCCTAGGGCAGACCCCTGAGGCACCCCACATGCATTAGTTTTGTAGCCACTAATACTGTTTTCCATTTTTACATATTGCACCCTATCCGTTAAATAAGTTCTAATCAACGTATGTACAAGTCCCCTAAATCCCATATTATCTAATTTCCTTAATAAGACGTCTATACAAACAACATCAAAGGTCTTCTTGAGATCAACAAAAACCGCAACTACTACCCTTTTATTATCCAGATCTGTTGATATTTTATTTACAATGTCCATGGTCGCACTAAGTGTGTTACTATTTCTTACAAAACCATACTGGTATTTATCAGCGGGGACGTATTTCTCCATAAAACCAAGCATCCTTTTTTTAATCAATTTCTCAATTATTTTAGATAAAGAGCTAACTAAACTTATAGGTCGATAATTACCCATATCCTCCCTGTTTCCAGACTTGAATATCGCGTTGATTCTGCTTATTTTTAATTCTTTAGGAAAGACGCCCGTGCTAAAAACATTGTTTATTAAATTAATCAAGATGTTGCAAAATGAATCTCCCAAATTGAGTACGTCACGTACTGATATTTGGTCGTGTCCCGGGGCAGAGTTATGTTTTAAGTCACTAATAATTTCGCAAATTTCCAGCTTAGTCGTTAAATCTAAATATAAGCTATTCGGACAATAAACTTCTTCAAACAATAAAGCAGTGTTTCGAACCTCTGGTGGCAAATTATTTATTTCATCCTCAATTTCTTCAACAATATGCTTACCTACATTTGAAAAATGCGAATTAATAGTATTGACTATATCCACAGGGTTGTCAATTATTACATCATTAACGTTTAAAGATTCGATCTTTGTCGTTTTTTGCCTATTATTTACTAAACTATCAATGACTCTCCATTGCTTTTTTGCATCATTGCCAGCCTCGTGCCACCGGTTTCTAAAGTGCAAATTTTTCAAGAATTTTATTCTGTTTGTAACTCGATTTTTTAAAATTATAAACTCATTGCGTAATAAAATATTATTTTTATTTTGTGCTACTCTCTTATAAACTTTATCGCGCTCCCTAATTAACTCCAATAGATCTTTGGTCATCCACGTATTGTTTTCCCTACAACGAATATTTACTTCAAACTCAGAATTTTTTTTGCACAAGTTTATCACTTCTATAAGTTTTTGGAAAGTATTTATATTACCTATCTCCGCTCGCTCACAAAAAAGCCTTTTGAATAAATTATGATTAATACATTTATGCGAGGGGTTGACCACTCTGGAAAATATGTACATGCGAGGGGTGAATAGCTCTTGCAGTCGGTGTACATATTTCTCACAATCTTCACACAATCATTCACAATCAGATCACAATCGTTCACAATCGTTACACAATCTCACACAATCTGTCACAATCGTTACACAATCACACACAATCTCTCACATTCGGGTCACAATCTCTCACAATCATTGCACAATATCTCACAATCGTTACACAATATCCCACAATCGCTACACAATCTACCACTATCTGTCACAGGTGAGATCCCTCCAAATAGTTTAATTTACTTCATTTTCGCCCATAGCAATAAGCCAATAAGACTGTTTGATGAACTTACTTTTGTATGCCACTTGCAGAGCACACATTTCTGAACTCTAAAGCCTCGTGTCCACCTGCAAGTAAATTTGCTTAGAGCACTCTCACAAGTCACTTGCATTGCGTGTAAACAGCAGCGTAGAGACATCTTGCTGCAAGTTTACTTGCCCGCCAAATACTTGCAGACTTGTTAGAGCTTGTAGTGTACAGGGTATTTGATTATATTTGGCACCATACCTACAGCCTTTACTTTTTAAATAAAAAAAAAAAATTTAAATACAAAACTTGACAGTTTTTTTCTATATTTTCTGATAACGTTATCAGAAAAAACAAAATCGCATCGGAAAATGGAGAAACGTAAGCAGCTTCGACTTTTTTAATGGACCACCCTGTATATTTTACGATAAAATGAAAGATCTATTCTTTCTGATTCCAAATATATATATATATATATATATATTGATAACATTTGCATGAGCAATTATTGACATATCTTAGGTTAAATTTTAAAGAATTTGCAAAGAAGTTCCATAAGGATCTCTATCTTTATAAAATTTCTTTGCAATTTAGTTATAATTTAAGCTGAGATATGTCAAAAATGGCTCATGCAAATGTGATCAACATATATATATTTGTAATCAGGAAGAAAAGGTCTTTCATTTTATCGCTTAATATACAGGGTGTTCCATTTAAAAAATCGAAGTTGTCTACGTTTCTCCATTTTCCGATGCGATTTTGTTTTTTTTGATAACGTTAAAAGAAAATATAGAAAAAAACTGTCAAGTTTTGTATTTACAATTTTTTTCCATCTTAAATAGTAAAGGCTGTAGGTATGGTGCCAAATATAATCAAATACCCTGTACACGGCCGATCTAAGCAAATTAGTTTGCACGGTTTGATTTCGAGACCGTTCCGAAATATTTGCAGCAAGTTTTGGAAGGACGTGTTTTCAAGTGGAGGTTTTTATATACCTATTTACAAAAATGGAGAAACCTTTTTGGAATAGAGAAGAAACTACCATGTTGATATAAAATTTTGAACTGTATCCTGAATTATGAGATGTACATTGTAAAGATTTTAAGAATAGGGTGAAGAAGCAAGCCGCTCTGGAAAAATTAGCAGGACTATTCGAGAAATCTGAAAATGAAATTTCACGCAACCCACATTTTCCTTCGCTTTTTGACATTTCCTTTTTTTTAATTTGATTTTTCAATTTGATATATATCACAACTGCAGCGGCAATTTGCCGGGATGACATTGTGTGTACACGTTTCAGTAAAGAACTAGGCAAATGGGCTTGCTATAGTAACTTGCTAGAAGAAAAATTGGAAACAATTACAATACAGTGTAGACACACCAGCTAGGCAATTCTGTAATTTTCGTTTATATCGCGAAACTAAGCGAAAGCCAAGCTAAAGCATAGCGAAGTCGATTTTTGTTGATATTCTATAAGGTGTTCGCTTCGCTTCCGCTTCGTTTTCCTAGTGTCACACGACTAAATTCGAGTTTGAACGACGTATGCATAAATAATTATGGCAACATTGTAGACCAAAGCAAAAACCGTAAAAAAAGAAGAGAAAATCAAAAGGAACATACCCCAAATTTGGATTTTGATTATTTTGAAACTTCAATAACATAATTAATCATTCCTATTTTTCTTTCAATAATATGTATTTATCTTGCATTTTTCATATTATTGTGTGA